GCTACTTGGGAGGCTGAGGCACAAGAATTGCTTGAACCCAGGAGGCAGAGGTTGCAGTGAGCCAATATCACAGAACTGTACTCCAGCCTGGGCAACAGAGCAAGATTCCATCTCAAGAAAAAAAAAAGAAAAACCCTCGCCCAGCACATTCCTGTTACCACCAAGGAGAGACCGTTCTCGTCAGTGCTCACTAAGTCGACCGTCCCTCCATGGCTCTGCTCACTGACTGCTCAGAGGGAGGGCTGGTCAGCCCAGAACAGCACAGTGTCTTCCAACGTTGCCCACCCCTCCCTTCCCACCTCGGCCCCTCCCAGCCCCTTGTTCCCTGTCCACAGACTCCTGAAAGGTCCCTTGGCTCCACCTCCACTCAGCTAGACAGGTCACCTCCACAAGGCAGCGCTGTCAGCAGGTGTAAAGCACTGGACACCACCCTGAAGCATGGGCACCTCCTCCCCGACTTCAGGAAGGTCCCCTCAGTGAAGAGAGGCCCAGTTCCCCACTGCAGCGATCTGCTGAGATTTGGCAGGACATTAGGAGAAGTTCTGTGAACGACTTATTCCTGCTTTCAGTAGGTGTTTTTAGAAATCGGGTATTTATGAAACTGAAGATGTAGGTCTGCTCTCAACAGGCAATGCTGACTCCCGGGCAGTCTGGTGGGCTGAAGAAGGCAGTAGTGTGTGCTCCGCGTGCTTCTAGAAACTGCTACACAGCTTTTAGAGCAGGCAGGCATTTTTCAGCTCCTTGTGGACAGCTATCATTGTCTCTATCACCACGTAACCACTCTGAGCTAATGGAAGCAGAGACAGGCCAGGTGCAATGGCTATGCCTGCAGTCCCAACACTTTGAGAGGCCAAGGCGGGAGGACTGATTGAGCCCAGGAGTACAAGACCAGCCTGGGCAACATAGTGAGACCCCTATCTCTACAAAAAACTGAAAAATTAACCAGGCATGATGGTACATGCCTCTAGTCCCGGCTACTAGGGAGGCTGAGGCAGGAGTTCAAGGATGCAATGAGCTATGACTGTGCACTCTACTCCAACCTGGGCAACAAGCAAGATCCTGTCTCAAAAATGGAGACAGCATTAAATTCCTGTGACTGTGTCTTAGAAAAATTTCCAGAGCTCCATCAAAAGGATTAAGTTCTTTTTTTTTTTTTTTGAGATGGAGTTTCGCTCTTATTACCCAGACTGGAGTGCAATGGTGCGATCTCCGCCTCCTGGGTTCAGGCAATTCTCCTGCCTCAGCCTCCTGAGTAGCTGGGATTACAGGCACGCGCCACCGTGACCTGCTAATTTCTTTTTTTATTTTATTTTTAGTAGAGACGGGGTTTCACCATGTTGACCAGGATGGTCTTGATCTCTTGACCTCGTGATCCACCCGCCTCAGCCTCCCAAAGTGCTGGGGATTACAGGCATGAGCCACCGCGCCCGCCCAAGTTCTTTTTTTTTTTTTTTTTTTTTTGAGACAGAGTCTCACTCTTGTCACCCAGGCTGGAGTGATCTCAGCTCACTGAAGCCTTTTCCTCCCAGGTTCAGGCAACTCCCCCACCTCAGCCTCCTGAGTAGCTGGGATTACAGGCACCTGCCACCACACCCAGCTAGTTTTTGCACTTTTACTAGAGATGAGTTTCACCATCTTGGCCAGGCTGGTCTCGAACTCCTGACCACAGGTGACCTGCCTGCCTCAGCCTCCAAATGCCTCAGCCTTCCAAAGTACTGAGATTACAGGTGTGAGCCACCACACCCAGCAGAAAAGAAGAATTAAGTTTTAAAGAGTCAACTGTTGGCCAGGCACAGTGGCCCACGCCTGTAATCCCAGCACCTTGGGAGGCTGAGGTGGGCAGATAACTTTAGGTCAGGAGTTCAAGACCAGCCTGGGCAACATGGTGCAACTCGTCTCTACTAAAATCACACACAAAATTCACCGGCCATGGTGGTGCACGCCTGTGATCCCAGCTACTTGGAAGGCTGAGTTGGGAGTATTTATTACTCGAACCCAGGAGGGGGCAGTTGCAGTGAGCTGAGATTGTGACACTGCACTCCAGCTTGGGTGACAGAGTGAGACTACGTCTCAAAAAAATAAAAAAGAATCAGCTGTTGCTACCTGCATTTGTCTACTGAGGGTACATGCATATGGGATTTTTAATTCAAACAGGCTATGAAGGTGTGATTAATAAAGCTCAGAAGTCAATAATCCACATTTCACTTTAGAATAAAAGTTTTAAAGCTTCCACTCTGCTCTTTCCTCTCCGCCTCCGCATGAATTTCTGCAGCAGCTCCTCAATAAACGATAAATGTGGAAATGTGCATTAAAGTGATCTTGACCGGTACTACCCTGAAACCACTGCAGAAAGGTGACTCAGATATGGCCCGGAGTCCAGCATACAGGCGTGATCTCTGTCACAGCTGAACCTGAGCCACGCTGTGGCACATGGACGTGAAAGGACGACACAAAGCCACGAGGTCTGCTCGCTCCCGGGACCAAAGCTGTCCCGTGTGTGAATTAGAGGGCCCTCCCATGCAGTTCTTGGCCGTGCTGGCTGCCTCCAAAGCCAGAGCTCGCAGGAGGTACATACAGCAGGGGTAAACGTCTCTGCGCACCGTGTGTCATAATCAGGGAGGATTTTCATAAAACGTCCCAACTTCACGTGAGGGTTTATACCTGAACAGACACAGCAGGGAAAGGACTAAGGACAGCTCTTACAGGACTGTGCAAACAGCGTTAATATGACCCAATGCCCGCCCCTCAACAGTGATACAATCACCGTGTTTATGCAGCCACCCAGGACACAGGGAGGCAGGTTCTGAGAAGGCTGCTGGAGAGAGCACTGTGACACTTTCCTTCCAACAGTGGTCCCAGCAGAAACTCATGGTGGCAGCAAGCTTGGGAATTCATTCCATACCCCATCAATCATGCTCCTCCTGTGGCCAGCACACTCTCCGCAGGCCCCCCGCCACAGCTCCCCGGGGCTCAGGAGGTAGGAGGGCAGGTGTCCTGGCCAGTGAGTATCTGGATGACCGTCTAAAGAACCCTTCTCCAGCTAAGACCAGCAAGCTCACCTTGCCCAGCACTCACCTGGCACTTTCCAGCCTGCCTCACAGGCAGCCTCACACAGCCCCACCACGGCTGGCCAACTACGCCACCCATTTATGGAGCTAAGAGTGATTTTCTCCCACCACCTGTTCCCAAAGCTAAGTGATTTTCTCCTGGATAAGCCTTAACGCAAATTCACAGAAACAGAATTCCTGTGTTGTGAAAGTGAACCCTGAAATTTGCTTTGGCCAATGCAGACTAAACACTGGGGGCAATGAACACCAACGGAAACTAAATAACAGATGACGTGAATTCTCTGCATTTTGCAAATACCTTCAAGGAGTTAAGAATCAGCAGTGAAAAGAAATCTCTCAATGCCCTGTCCTCCTGTCCCCTCCTTCTGTGCCCACCCCCCTGCCCTGCCCTCAGCCACACCACCTCCTGCTCACCTGTGCCCAGATGGCCTCTCCCAAAGGACAGCAGGATGCAGTGACCAGGCAGCACCCCCGACCCCCGCAGCTGAGAGAAGCATCCATGTGTACACTCCTCTGCGTGTTAAAGAAAACCCTAACACCTGTGTCCCTACCAGGATGTGACTTCTGGTGCTTACAACTCTCAGAAGTACGCCTTTGCCTGGCGCAGTGGCATGTGCCTGTAGTCCCCAGCTACTCGGGAGGCTGAGGTGGGAGGATCGCTTGAGCCCAGGAGTTCTGGGCTGTAGTGCGCTATGCCGATCGGGTGTCCACACTAAGTTCGGCATCAATATGGCGACCTCCCAGGAGCGAGGGACCACCAAGTTGCCTAAGGAGGGGTGAACCGGCCCTAGTCAGAAGTGGAGCAGGTCAAAACTCCCATGCTGATCAGTAGGGGATCGCACCTGTGAGTAGCCACTGCACTCCCGCGCCTGGGCAACGTAGCGAGACCCCATCTCTTATTAAAAAAAAAAAAAAAAAAAAAAGAAGAAGTATGTCTTCATGTCACTTTGAAATGATATGGGCCAATGGCCTAAGAAACTCAAAGAGCATCTGCCTTGTAGAAAAGAAAAAGGAAAAAAAAAAGAAACTCAAAGAACAGTCAGAAGATGAAAACTGTGGTAAAGACACTCATAGAAACCCTCTGGCCATTCAAAAACACCAAGAGCTTTGTCCAGTGAGTGAGAAATGGGACTGAGGAAATGCCCTCGGAAAGACAGCCTGGGCCAAGCAGCCTCTGCCTGCTCGGTGAGTGTTGCAGGTGACTCTGTAAAGCCGGGACAGGAGAAACATGGAACAGGGCCAGGGGCTCATCCTGCTCACAGAACACTGAGGGGAGGAAAACTCCAGCAGCGGGGCCGCCTCTCCATACCTGGGGGCTTGGATGGAAGGCACCACAGCTGAATTTCCCAATTACCACGGGCAGTCCCATCCTGAAAGCTGGAGGCCCAGAAGCGAGAGAAATAGGCAGCTCCAGGACCAGCCGAATCGCTCTGGTGCGGCCCACATTTCTCGGATCTAAAGTGCCTCAAGATGCCTAATAAAAGACACTTGTATCGACGATGCCCAGAATGGGAGAACGGAGTATCCCCTCCCTGAATTTTAGTGCTACTACAGGTGCTGTATTCAAAGTGTGACTAAGACGGTGCCTGAGAAGACAACAGTGCGGACTAAATCGCTTTTATCATTTATGACTGATGTGCACTGTCTGCTTTTGGTACAAAGTTAATGATGGGATGTGAGGGCGATCTGGCTGCGACATCTGTCACCCCATTGATCGCCAGGGTTGATTCGGCTGATCTGGCTGGCTAGGCGGGTGTCCCCTTCCTCCCTCACCGCTCCATGTGCGTCCCTCCCGAAGCTGCGCGCTCGGTCGAAGAGGACGACCATCCCCGATAGAGGAGGACCGGTCTTCGGTCAAGGGTATACGAGTAGCTGCGCTCCCCTGCTAGAACCTCCAAAGTTAATGATGGATGATGACAAACATTCACTCACACTTCGCGTAGACGTCCCGACAGGACACGCCTGTGATCTCCAGCTTCCGCAAGTTTTCACAAACACCGTACTCTGTAACAAGAAACATTTGCAGAAATTTAAAATCAAGAAGTAACAAAGCGACAGACGGGGCAGGCTGCTGATGGCTGGCAGGGGAGGTGCACACCTAGCCTTGGCCCCATCTCCAGAGGGCGTCTGTCACTGTGGAGATTTCACTGACTTCTCCACATTCAGCCAATACCCTTGTTCATCAATGAAGACATTATTCTATTTTAGTCAATGTCACCCTTTATAAAATAATAATCTGCACTGTCCGTTCTAATAAACTAGAAGCCTAACCACACAAACCAAAATCAGACAATCCCTAGTTTATGAATAAGGTGAGGCAGAATTCAGTTGTCCGCACACCGCGCCATATTTCCATGGAAACAAAGTCACTGTGGGTTTTAGGGTCCAGACAATGCCAGAGGCCAGTCCGCCCCATGTACCTGCCTGTGCCGTGTTCATCTCAGCCAGAAGCCAGGAGGGGACTGTGCAAGACACGGGAGAAGGGGTCAACACTGGCCCTTTGACACTGGCTGGCCCTGACCAGGGCCCAGTACAGGGCTCACACCCTCACCTGCTGACAGCAGCCTCCTCTCTGTCCCCTACTCCCACCCCACCACAGCTCCATTTCTCACAGTCACCATCCTCACCACCAACCACGTCCCAACCAAAACCCTGGGTCCCCTGGCTTGGGTCTCCGCCAGCCTCTGAGAGGAAAGACTGACGGGGGCTAATCCACACAATCACACAACTGCAGGTGGGCCAAGAGCTGCTACTGGCGACACCTGCGTTCTCAGCTTTCCGCGTACCATGTACCATGCTGAGCCGTGCTGGCTGTCACTTCACTGCATGCTACAGCAGCCCCAGAAAACAGCCACTACTGTCGTCTCCACTTCAACAGAGAAAACAGGTGCAGAGACGTGATGTCACTCCACAGAGGGACTGGAGCTCGCAGTCAGCTGGGACCAAGAACTGAAGCCTAGAGGAAAAAGCTTCCTTCGCAGTGAGGATGAGGCAGGGGCACAACACAGGAGACAGGACGGGGCCTGGGCCTCCACACTGACCACTGCAGTTCACACTGACTGCCTTATGCCCTGTGCAGGCATGAGAGCCTGACAGTGACCTTAAAGGTCAGGACCCTGCCCTGTGGCAGAGAGGGAAACCGAGGCCCAATGAGGATGGTGGCCATCAGAGCTCACTCAGCAGTCACGATACAGGAACGGGGATACAATGCGGCCGGGCTGGCCAGGTGGCTCCAGAGGGCTGCTCCGTCATGCATGCCTTTTGATAAGCCCTACTCATCAGGAGGTCTCATCCCTTCTTTTCAATAACAGGGGTGCTGTTACCCCAAATGCTTCTCTAACTGGAAGCACTGAAGGCGCTCAAAGTGCAGCTCAAGAGGCAGCAGGGTGGAGACGGCAGCTGAGGGAAGGTGGCTGCTACTTGGCAAAGCTCCTTCCAGCGCGGCCGTGCCGGCTCCAGCCTTGTCGGCGTGTTCCCTGCCTCCACTTCTGAACCCCCGGGCGACTGCAACGCCTGCATCTCCTCTCAGCTGTGGCCCAAGGATCCCCCACTAGTGGGCAAATCGCATCCTAAATCCAGTAGGCTCCAGAGTGGCCCCACTGACGAGCAAGCAGCAAGGAGACGGAGTCTAGTTCTTCGGAGAAAAAACCAGGAGGGAGACGAGTGAGTCACTGGGGATCTCCTGCAGAGCCGCGCCCAGGGAGCTGCTGATCCCAGATCTAGGCCAGGGCTGCCCTGACGGAAGCTCAACGGAAGCTGCAAATAGCATTTAAATTTTCTAGTAGCCACATCAAAAAAAAGTAAAATTAAACAGGTAAAATTCATGTTAATATTTTATTTAACTCAATATAAATAATTATTTCAACATATACTCATTACTGGCTTTTTTTTTTTTTAAGAGATGGGGTCTCACTATGTTGCCCAGGCTGCAGTGTAGTGGCTACAGTTAAAACATGTATTTATTTATTTTTGTTTTTTCGAGATGGCATCTCACTCTATTGCCCAGGCTGAAGTGCGCTGGCACGATCTCAGGTCATTGCAGTCTCTGCCTCCCAGTTCAAGCGATTCTCCTGCCTCAGCCTCCTGAGTAGCTGGGACTACGGGTGCACACCATTATGCTGGGCTAACTTTTGTATTTTCAGTAGAGACGAGTTTCACCACATTGGCCAGGCTGGTCTCCAACTCCTGACCTCAAGCGATTTGCCCACCTCGGCCTTCCAAAGTGTTGGGATTACAGGCATGAGCCACCGCGCCTGGCCAGAGTTAAAACACTGATTTATCAATTACTTCGTCATTATGACCGGCAGAGTCAGGAACCCCTGTCTTCACTGCAAAGGGGACTAGGGGACAAGGACCTCTGTCCTCCTTTCCGTCAGGGCCAGGGATGAGGAGCTGAGATGCAGCATGAAGCAGCCCAGGGACTCTGACTAGTAACGACAGAGAAAAAACCAGCAGCGGGGGTAGGAGCCGCTCGTCTCCTTTGCCTCATGGTCTATACTCCAGAGTGAGCTGGGACGTTTGACACTTGCCTGCCAGGCAGGATCAAGGACTGGTAAGAATTTAAGTGAAAATCTGTCAATGATACAATAGTAATGAGGAGAATTCTGCAGTTTCCTCCAGAGTGTTTTGTTTCTTTAGACGAGCTCTCCAGCGTCCAGGGAGCCCACCTAGAATGGCAGGAATAAATCGGTTTTTAAGGGAAACGTCTTCCTATATGGTTACATGCTACGGGGAAATCAAAACACGATCAGAGAAACGCACAGGGACTCTGTGAGAGTCTCTCTGAGAGGGACTCTCGGCAAAACCAACACTGCCCGAGCTGTGAAGGAAAAAGGCAACTATAATAAAAGACTCAGTTTGTGTTAAAATAACTGGAGCAGCAGCTTCAATTTTCATCTGTAAGTTAAAGGAACTGGACTGATCATCTGTAAATTCCCCCTTCTGAGCTCTCAACATCCTACGATTCTAGATGGAGAGAAAAGAAAGTTCACCAGCAAATGTTTACAAATGGGAAGGGGTAAGGGAAAGACACTGATGAAGAGCAAGGATGGGAAGGACAGGGCTTCCGGGGTGAGAGCCGTGGCCGCAGGCTGGCAGCCGCCCCACCTCCTGTTCCATTACAATCTTATTTCGGTTATGTTGATACAACACAATCTGTCCTTCCAAGTGATCACTGGAGTCCAGTTATTTCTGTCAAGTCAGCCATCCAGAAAGGGGCTGCAGACAAAGTGTAGCAACAGGGCCTACAGCAGGCCGCAGAGCTCATCCTGCAAGACGCCTGACCGCACAGGAGGGCTGACCCCAGGGAAACTCGACACCAGGACAAAGCTTGAAGCTCAACAGGGGCCTGCCTGCTCTGTGCAGCTGCCAGACTCTGCCCTGGAAAATCACAGGGCACTCCGGTGAGCGCTGCAGAAGTCAGAAGGCCTTAGATGGCCAGGTGTGCAGCGGGCAGGTGCAGGGGCTGCACCTGGATGCGGCTAGGCCTGGGCCAGTTCACGCAGATTCCTCTCAACTCCAGAGGTCCAGGGAGCGCCTGTCAGTGTGGAAGTCAGAATGCTCAGGCTAAATACCAAAATCAACCAACTATTCAGGTTGAACCAAAGGCCTGGAGGGCATGTCACTGCCCACCCATCAGACCAAGGGACATGTCACCCCAGGCCACAGCCCGCCAGAATGCAGTACAACCACTAGATATGACTTCTCAGCTACAGTGAACTTTGGGAGAAAATCCCACCACTAATACCATCATTTAGTTTAACTCTGCAGATTAAAAACACTTAAAAAATTATCTGGTAGCTCAGGCCTATAATCCCAGCAGTTTGGGAGGCCAAGGCAGGCGGATTACCTGAGCTCAGGCTTTTTGAGACCAGCCTGAGCAACATGGCGAGATCCCATCTCTACAAAAAATACAAAAATTAGCCAGTCATGGTGGCACACACCAGTGGTCCCAGCTACCTGGGAGGCTGAGGTGGGAAGATCATTGAGTCCAGGAGGTTGAGGCTGCAATGAGCCAAGATCACACCACTTAACTCCAGCCTGGGGGACAAAGTGAGGTCCCATTCCTTAAACATACATATATGTAACACAGTATACGTGTGTGTGTGTGGATATCAGGTGGGCCACCCAATCATTACAGCATTTTCTGTGAGGATATAAAGGTCTTTGTAGTGATAACAGGAAAAGAAAACCAATTTGCTATAAGGCGAGATTCAAACTGGGAGTACAGCAAAGTAAACAGAGGCAGGTGGAATGAGCCTCTGGGCCAAGCCAAGGGGTCAGGACTTCTGCTGCAGGTAGAGGGGAGCCACAGCAAGGCTCCTAAGCAGGGGCAGCGACCTCCTTGGCAAGGCAGTGGCTCTCAACCCCCTCAGACCGATCCCATTCCTTAAAACAAAGATTTACTAACACCTCATAGATCCTCTGTGAAAGCAAAGGAACTATTCTATACACAATTCTAACCAGTGACTACTGCCCTGATTGGAGCAGAAGGAAACATAGAAATCCATCAAGGTGCGTTTTGATATGCAATGCTCAGGTCAGACTTCACCAGAGCCTGGCCGCTCTGGGTGTGGTCCTAGGACCTGCAGCACGGGCCTTCCAGGGAGCCTCGAAGGGGGTCCCAGGCCCCTCTCAGACCCACTGAATCAGCGTCAGCATCTCACCAAGATAACCAGATGGCTGGAGAAGCCCTGCTCTGGCTGCTAACACCTCTGCCCTTGCAGCCCACCATATGCAGCACCGCCATGGCAACATGCATTTCCAAACAGTTTCCGGAAAAGCTCTGAGCAAAATACAGTTTTTTCTTAGTTAACAACATATGAAAAAACTGTATGAAAAACCCTGGATGTAGGCTGGGCTCAGTGGCTCATGCCTGTAATCCCAGCACTTTAGGAGGCCAAGGCGGGCAGATGATCACTCGAGGTCAGAAGTTCAAAACCAGCCTGACCAATATGGTGAAACTGCATCTCTACTAAAAACGCAAAAATTAGCCAGGCATGGTG